AATTCTAGACATTGGTGGACTCTCTTTAAATCTCCCTGGTAACTTTAATCGTCATGCTCTTTAGTTGTTCCTTGCCCTCCCGCTTTTGTTTTTCAATTTATAAAACAAATTTGCACTCTACTGTGAATCTCTTTTGACAGCTGCAGAATGTGGATATCTGCTGTCTGTTTTGTTGGTTTCTGCCCACTCTCACTCAGACTTTGCTCTCTTGTGTGTTTGGAGGTTCCTAAGTGTGTGTTCGTAGGTTAAACTTAACCCGTAGGAGCCCCAAGACCTAACATGCAGGTCGCTCGTGTTGTGTCTGCCTGGGGACATGGGATGACTACAGCTCTCTCCTGGCTTAACACAGGCGTGCAAGGTGGCGGCGGGAGAGACCGGCCCTGCGCACCTCCGAAAGCCAGCGCAACACGTCTGGGCTTTATTCCCGGATCAGTGAGAGGCCTTAGAGGTTATTAGCAGGAGGGACGTGCTCTTATCAGTGCTTTTCAAAGATCCTTAGACGCTCCCTGGAGAATGGCCAGCAGGGATAGAAGGACTTAGAAGCCTGTTGTGATCATGGAAGAGAGGGTGGTGGCTAAATACGGCACGTGCCAGAAAGAGGAACCAAGGACATCGCCTAGCACTGTGGCTTCAGCCTTGAGCAGTGACAGCGTGTATGTGTGCTGAAGGCCGAGTTCAGTTCCTCCTTTTGCGAGACCATTTCTCAGCCAAAACCCAGAAGCCCTGGCTTTGCGGTCATCACCTGTGCTCTCTGTCTTCACCTTGCCCTCACTCTTGAGGGTGCAAACAGCGCCGCTCCAGGTCGCTGATTTACCCAGGGCTGCATTTCACCGAGACCCTGGAGAGCACCTCTCAGAGGCACGGGGCCCTGGGCTGGGCTTGTCGGGAACCACGTGGCTGGCCCGGGAGCATGGCGTTCACACAGGGAGCGATTAAAGGACTTAATTCTGTAAGTAAATTCCACCTTTCAGCCTCCCAGTGGCTAATTTTATCTTACTGCTTTCTCAAATTTCATCAAATGCCTCTCAAGAGTGCGGAAACTCAAAGGTGCGCAGCGGGAACTGTTTGCCAAGGTGCAGGGGCAATGCTGGCGTCGGTGGCTTTGAGCCCTGAGTGCTTTTTATTGGTTTTCTTAAGGGGTTTAAAGTGCAAGAGAAAGTACACAGGAGATGGAACTGGGTCAGGGAGGATTAACGTGGCGAGGCCGCCGAGGCAGGGATATCAAAGGTCTCGTCTGGCTGAGGAAGTGGGAACGTTTTCGTGGGAGCTGCCAAGCTGGGCCTGGCGAAGGCATCCGGGGTCCTGTGGACCCTGGTGACCCATGGGGGCATGTGTCCTGAGGCTGGGCTGCATCCCTGACACCAGCCGGCTGCACTGGGTTCCGTGGACTTGGAGAGCCTGGGTTTATGTCCCGGTTCTGCCCCAAATCGTCACAGATTTTCAGGAAGTCTGCACCTCTGAACCTGTAAGAAAGGACACTGACCCTTGTCCACCTGCTTCCCAGGGCTGCACGGTGATAATTAGCTAATGTGCACAAAATGGTGTGTGCATTGTGAAGCTCTCTAAAAAGGGAGAGCATTAGTCATGTTATTTACCTTTGCCACTAAGATTAAATGTTCCAGTAACCTCTTCTGCGTGACAGACCATGAAAAAACAGGCACAGGGACCATGGTTTTATGGTGCTCAGAGACCCACCCAGACTCCCGACCGCAGATGAAATGGGGGTTGCTGTGAGCCCCCAGGTTGGGGTAACAACAGCAGCTGGCACAACTGGTTCTTGGATTCAGAGAACCTGGGAGACAGGACAGAGGGGAGCAGAGGTCTGTAGTGCAGCTCGCCCCCATCCCCGGACCCTGGCATGGTGGCCACACCATGTCCACTGCTCCATTCCCCCCAGCGGGTCTCTTGACTCCTCCATCGCTTCACTTCTCCAGGAAACACTTTCTAAACCTGCCTAACTCTGTCCCCTCTTCACTCCACATCTAATTTCAAGGACATTGTCTTTTTACGTCGCCAATATTCTCTGAGCTGGAACCTGCCTTGTGCCTGGAGTGCCATCTGGGCCCCTCCTGGGCCCCCCACCAACCCTCAGGACCCCATGACAGTCCGTCTGGCCTGCACCCCTGTCAGAGGGGCCACAGTAAGAACTAGTGACATCGCCAAATGCAGGCGAGGACACACAGGTCTGCATAGGTGACCAAATGACAGCACACTGCCCATACGCTGTCCCAGGGCCGGAGTCCTGGCTATGGTTTAGTGCTGCCTGCGCTATGGGAGACTAACCATGGTGCCAGCGAGGACCCGAGGCAGAGCCCATTCTCTCTGCCATGCTGGGTGTCCGGGGCTGAATAATGTCCCCAAGATGCCACGTCCTGGTCCTGGAGCCTGTCGGCATGACCTCACCCGGCACAAGGGACTTTGCAGATGCATAATGTGGAGGGTTCTGAGGTGGGGGGTGCCCTGGACTGGCCAGTGTCCCTGTGAAAGGCAGGCAGCGAGCGGGTCAGGGTTGCGGATGAGACGTGACAAACGTTTGGAGGAGGCCGCACTGAGCGAGGCGCTCCCAGCACCTGGTCCTCACGCCTGCACTGGGTCTGGGGTCGCGTGGCCCTTCACGTGGCACAGGGTGCTGTTGAGCGGGTCTACGGTTTATACTGATGGTGGTCAGCGCTCGCGATGTGGCACTGCATTCACTCGGCCGCTGTCCTGACTGCTGAGCCCTGATTCTGCAGTCCGGCATCTGGCTGCAGACCTGAGACTCGAACCCTCTGCATTCGTGCAGGACGCTGACGAGAGGGTGCTCGGGTGGAACTCGCACTGGGCAGGACAGGCGCCATGTGGTGGGCACGTGAGTACCAGAGCGCCTCACTGCAGCCTGTCCCTACACACAGGCCCGCCAGCGCTGCCACCAGAGCTGAGCCTGCGTAGAAAACAACTTCGTCATTGATTTAGCTGGTTCCCTGGGCTCAGCCACACTCACGAGTTCATGGAATCCCATTTTCTCCCTTTGCTCACACCCTTCTACGGCATTTCCTGTATTTGCTCGAAGAGAAGAGTGGGAGCCATATTGCAGTGTGCCCCCCAGGGAGAAGCCCAGTGCCCAGCTACTGTGCATGTTGTTGCAAATCTAGGGACGTCAGTCTCTTACTGGTCATCGAGCCCCTCCCAGAGGGCTGGGTCCTCACTCGGTGAACCGATGGCAGCTCAGTGCTCTGGCTCCGGGGGCACGGAATCCGCTGCTTAGAAGCTTCAGGGCGTGTGATGCCCGCCCACTGCCTTCCAGAAGACCTCGAAGGGGCTTGGTGGTTGTATTTGATCTTAAGCAACAATGCAGCCTTTTCCACGTCTCGTGATGCAAGGACGTAAGACCCTCCCTCGCTTTTCGGAGACAGACCCGCAGACCCTGCAGTGTGGAAGGGCACGACGGGTGGGAGCGGGTCCCGTCAAACCGGGAGCTTCTCTCACAGGCACATGGCACTAACCACACCCCGGTCAGTTTCTGCCTCGGTTTCTTCTATTCTTTTTTTTAAATTATCTTTTCATGTTGGATTCTCCGGGTGAGCCAGAGCAACTTCGAAAAGAACAGATACCCTGAAGCAGCCCCAAATCCTCTAGCGGCAGGAGTGAGGACGTGCTCTCGCTCCGTGGGCCTCTGGGTCAGCAGCAAGCCATCATCCCCGGGATTAGCAGGCGGGCAGGCCCCAGAGGGCACTGCGAACCTGAACCACCGTCTGTCTGTCTGTCAAGGGAGGGAGCCGCCGAGGCCTGTTTAAATGCTACGGCCGTGAATAGAAGCAATTTCCTGGCCAAGGTTCTCACCACTGTGGCAGGTTAACATTTGTTCAGCTGTGCAGTGTTTGCCAGCCTCAGATGTCACCCCAACGAGCCTCCCCAGACCCGGAAGTTTCCCCTCTCAGCAATTCAAAGTTGAACATCCCACAGAGTCTGCGTTTGGGTGGAATCTCATCAGGGTGACTCCTCTGAACTGTCTTGTTCACACGACCAGTGACTGTCGAAACTGTCGCCCTGGACCGCTCTGCTGCTGGGTGGGGAGGCGGGGGCACCTGGCTCCTTCTGGGGCCGCCAGGCCGCAGGCAGGTGCCCCGACGTGTCCAGCCTCGCCTTCCTCCCCACGGCATGGGGGACGTGAAGGGACCAGGACAAGTGTGAGGAGCCCACAGACGGCGCCAGGCAGGGGGCCCGGGACCCCACTTTCTCCCCTCCCGCTGGCACACCGGCCAGGTCGTGATGAACAGGACGCTGATTTGGGGTCTTGTCCATGGCCGGGGCGGGGGAAACCTAGACAGCCCAAGAAGAACGACAGCCCTGGGACGAGCAGACCAAGTCCCGAGGAGACGACTGCCCTGCCCGCGGCCGCTGCCCACTTCCGCCGCCGGCACCTCCGCACGCTCGGGGGCTCCGCGTGTCCACTGAGGACGCGCCGGGCCCCGTCTCCCAGGCCGCCCGGCCCGAGCGCCGGCGCCCACTCTCTCCCGCGGACACGGTCCACAGCCCGGGTCACGGCCCACGCGAGGAGGTGACAAGCCAGAAGGCCCTCTCCCCAGGGGCGCAGGGCGCGCCGGGCCCCACGGCCTCTCTCCGCCGCCCCTGCCTTCCCCCCACCTTGCGGTCCCCTTCCTCGGGCACCCCCGAGCCTCTCCGCTGCGCCACCCTCGCTGAAAGCCCTGCACCCTGGGAGGCGTCGCAGCACGTGGACCGGGAGGCCGCCCGGTGCCGCTGCGCGGTGAGGACACGCCGGGTCCACGTTGAAACCTGGCGCCCACACCTGCGACCTGCCAACCGGGTGGGGCGGGAAGGTAGAGGGCTGAACGCCTATTGCCCGCGACCCCGCCCCGCGCAGGCCCCGCCCCCGCGCAGACCCCGCCCCTTCATCACCAGCCCCGCCTCCCGCGCAGGCCCCGCCCCTTCCTCCCCGGCCCCTCCTCTCCGCGCGGACCCCGCCGGCCCCGCCCCTTCCTCCGCGTGAGCCGCCCTCGGCCGGGACCCCTACTCGCCGCGCGGCTCCGGAGCCCGCGGTGCACCCGCGCGGGAGGCCCGCCCGCCTCCGCGATGCCGCGAGCGCCCCGGTGCCGCGCCGTGCGCGCCCTGCTGCGGAGCCGCTATCGCGAGGTGATGCCGCTGGCCACCTTCGCGAGGCGCCTGGGGCCCGAGGGCCGGCGGCTCGTGCAGAGCGGGGACCCCGCGGCCTTCCGCTCGCTCGTGGCCCAGTGCCTGGTGTGCGTGCCCTGGGACGCGCGGCCGCCTCCGGCCGCCCCGGACTTCCGCCAGGTGGGCTGCCGGGCACCCCCTCGGGCCTGCGGGATGGGGGT